AAAGGCCCCACTGTTGGAGTTTTTCATCCAGATAGTGAGGCGCCATAGTTTTTTCGGAAATGCAATGGTAGAAGCCTGGACCTATAAAAATAAGTAGGATGTTTTACTCTGTATTACTAAGTTTTGCTGTGACAGTCCAGGTTTATTTTAAGTTAATCGATGTATAATTATAATAATAAATATAAGTAAAGTCTTTAAACATTGCTGCTGATTTTTATTTCATTAACTATTTAGTACAAATAATTACTGTTTTAAATGAAGTCCTTGAATATCTCTAGCGACTCTAGCGACTTTTATAGTTTACCAGTAGGTGAAGAAAGATTTCTTGTGACATGAGAACTTTTCTGAACTGTGATAAAATTAGTTCAGTATTATGAGTTTTTGAAACCAAGTGGCATTGATCATTTGAATGACAATGGAGTATTATCAGATGATTTTCAACCTATAAATAAACAGCTGAATTCAAAGCATGAATATAGAAATCTAAATATTCCTGCTGTCGAATTCTGGTTGTAGTCGGATTAACGTTATAGTGTACTGAAATTAATTTTGCAAGTTCAAGAACCGGGTGAGCTCGCCTAACCAGTACAAAGATCCTCAACCGATAGTATCACAGAAATGCGAGGAGATATTGCAGCGTACCCCTGCATCTGATATAAAGTTGGTGGGAAATGCTTTCGTGTAGTTACCTCTCGCCGCTTCTGTGATCGTGTATGAAAGTGGTAGTCCTAATACAAAATTGCCGCAGAAAGCAGATTTCGGTCAGTTACCTTCCGCCGTTTCTGCGACCCCCAATACAAAATTTTATGAACCAAATAAGCACATCCGAACAGGGCTTGCATGCAAAATGGTAAAATCCGATAGGCAAAATGTTGCTACCAGGAATCGCAGAAACGCGAGGAGGTATGGAAGTGGTACTCCTACTCCTAATATAAAGTTGGAACGAAATGTTTACGAGCAGTTACCTGTCTCCGTCTCTGCGACCCCAATACAAAACTTTTTAGAAACCGATTAAGTACTATCGAACAGGATTGGCCATGTAAAACCGTCAAATCCGATAGGCAAAATTTCTCGTAAGTACTCGTGTTTCTGATATAAAATTGGCTGGGAATACAAAACCGAACAATAATTATATCCGAACAAGAATGCAAAATGGTCAAATCCGAAGGCTGTGTTGTTATCAGGGTCTCAGAAACGCGAGGAGGTATGATACAGCTACTCCTAATACAAAATTGCCGCAGACTACAGATTTCGTACGGTTTCCTTCCGCCGTTTCTACGACCCTAATACAAAATTTTATAATACAAATAAGCACATCTGAACAGGACTTGCATGTCAAGTGGTAAAATCTGATACGCAAAATGTTGCTAGCAGGATCGCAGAAACGCGATGAGGTATTGAAGTACTCTGGTATAAAATTGGCTGGAAATACTATTACTCATGCAGTTATCTCTCGAGGTTTCTACGATCCTAATACAAAACCGAACAAGAATGCAAAATGGTCAAATCCGAAGGCTGTGCTGTTACCAGGGTCGCAGAAACGCGATGAGGTATAGAGGCAATACTCATGCTCCTGGAATAATGATGCTTTCATGCTGATATATCTAACCATTCCTGTGATCCTGATACAGAATCTTTAGTAAATGAGTAAGGGCATCTGATTAGAAGTTCTCTGCAAAAGCATCAACTTGGTGAGTATAACTTTGCTACCAGAAACTCGGAAACGTGAGAGGGTATGAAAGCGCGGTACTTTTAATACCAAATTGCCGCAGACTACAAATTTCGTTCGGTTGCCTTCCGCCGTATCTGCGACCCTAATACAATTTTTTTTTAAAACAAATAGGCAAATCTGAGCAGGACTTGCATGTGAAATGGTAAAATCCGATAAGCAAAATGTTGCTCCCAAGTTCGCAGAAACGTTAGGAGGTATGGAAGCGGCACTCGTGCGCATGACATGGCAATAGAGTGAAATGGTTTGGCGCGGATCCCTCCCACGGTTTCTGTGATCCTGACACACATTTTTAGAAGAAAACACACACATGACTAAGAATATATCTGCAACAGCATCAACTAGATGGGTAATATTTTGCTATCAGGAACCCAGAAACGCAAGGAAGTATGGAAATACTCGTGTTCCTCATATAAAATCAGCTGGAAATACTATTACTCATGCCGTTTCTACGATCCTAATACAAAATTTTATAAAACAAATAGGCAAATCTGAGCAGGACTTGCATGTGAAATGGTAAAATCCGATAAGCAAAATGTTGCTACCAGGATCGCAGAAACGCGAGGAGGTATGGAAGCGGTACTCGTGCGCATGATATGGCAATAGAGTGAAATGGTTTGGCGCGGATCCCTCCCACGGTTTCTGTGATCCTGATACACATTTTTAGAAGAAAACACACAAATGACTAAGAATATATCTGCAACAGCATCAACTAGTTTGGTAATATTTTGCTATCAGGATCCCAGAAACGCAATTAAGTATGGAAGTACTCGTGTTCCTGATATAAAATCAGCTGGAAATACTATTGTTCATGCCGTTTCTACGATCCTAATACAAAACCGAATAAGTTTATCCGAACAAGAATGTAAAATGGCCGAATCCGAAGGCTGTGTTGTTATCAGGGTCGCGGAAACGCGAGGAGGTACGGAAGCGATACTCATGCTCCTGGTATAATGCTACTGCTTTCATGCTGATACATCTAACCATTCATGTGATCCGTACACAGAATCTTTAGTAAATAGGTAAGGCGCGTTTGATTATAATTTCTCTGCAAAAGCGTCAACTTGATGGGTATAATTTTGGTAACCGGGAACTCAGAAGCGTGAGAGGGTATGAACGCGGTACTCCTAATACAAAATGGACGCAGACTACAAATTTCGTTCGGTTGCCTTCCGCCGTTTCTGCGACCTTAATACAAAATTGTATAAAACAAATAGGCAAATCTGAGCAGGACTTGCATGTGAAATGGTAAAATCCGATAAGCAAAATGTTGCTACCAGGATCGCAGAAACGCGAGGAGCTATGGAAGCGGTACTCGTGCGCATGACATGGCAATAGAGTGAAATGGTTTGGCGCGGATCCCTCCCACAGTTTCTGTGATCCTGATACACATTTTTAGAAGAAAACATACACAGATGACTAAGAATATATCTGCAACAGCATCAACTAGATGGGTAATATTTTGCTATCAGGATCCCAGAAACGCAATTAAGTATGGAAGTACTCGTGTTCCTGATATAAAATCAGCTGGAAATACTATTGTTCATGCCGTTTCTACGATCCTAATACAAAACCGAATAAGGTTATCCGAACAAGAATGTAAAATGGCCGAATCCGAAGGCTGTGTTGTTATCAGGGTCGCAGAAACGCGAGGAGGTATGGAAGCGATACTCATGCTCCTGGTATAATGCTACTGCTTTCATGCTGATACATCTAACCATTCATGTGATCCGTATACAGAATCTTTAGTAAATAGGTAAGGCGCGTTTGAATATAATTTCTCTGCAAAAGCGTCAACTTGATGGGTATAATTTTGGTACCCGGAACTCAGAAGCGTGAGAGGGTATGAACGCGGTACTCCTAATACAAAATGGACGCAGACTGCTGATTTCGTTCGGCTACCTTCCGCCGTTTACGCGACCATAATACAAAATTTTATAAACCAAATAAGCACATCCGAACAGGACTTGCATGGACAATGTTAGAAACCGATAGGCGAAATGCTCCTGGAATAATGATGCTTTCATGCTGATATATCTAACCATTCCTGTGATCCTGATACAGAATCTTTAGTAAATGAGTAAGGGCATCTGATTAGAAGTTATCTGCAAAAGCATCAACTTGGTGAGTATAACTTTGCTAACAGAAACTCGGAAACGTGAGAGGGTATGAAAGCAGTACTCTTAAATTTCGTTCGGTTGCCTTCCGCCGTTTCTGTGACCCTAATACAAAATTGTATAAAACAAATAGGCAAATCTGAGCAGGACTTGCATGTGAAATGGTAAAATCTGAGAAGAAAAATGTTGCTACCAGGATCGCAGAAACGCGAGGAGGTATGGAAGCGGTACTCGTGCGCGTGACATGGCAATAGAGTGAAATGGTTTGGCGCGGATCCCTCACACGGTTTTTGTGATCCTGATACACATTTTTAGAAGAAAACATACACAGATGACTAAAAACAGGACTTGCATGGACAATGTTAGAAACCGATAGGCGAAATGTCGCTATCAGGATCGCAGAAACGCAATGGGGTATGGAAGTACTCGTATTGCTGGAATAAAATTGACTGGAAATACTATTATTCATGCAGTTATCTCTCGCCGTTTCTACGATCCTAATACAAAACCGAACAAGTATATCCGAGCAAGAATGCAAAATGGTCAAATCCGAACGCTGTGCTGATGACAATCAGGGTCGCAGAAACGCGATGAGGTATAGAGGCGGTCCTGGAATAATGATGCTGCTTTCATACTGGTATCAGCATTAGATGTATATCTAACCATTCCTGTGATCCTGATACATAATTTTTAGTAAATGAATAAGGGCATCTGATTAGAATTTCTCTGCAAAAGCATCGACTCGGTGAGTATAACTTTGCTACCAGGAATTCGAACGTGAGAAGGTATGACGCGGTACTCCTAATACAGAATTAGGCTACCTTCCTCAGTTTCTGCGACCCTAATACAAAATTTTATAAACCAAATAAGCACATTCGAACAGGACTTGCAAAATGGTAAAATCCGATAGGCAAGATGTTGCTACAAAGATCGCAGAAACACGAGGAGGTATGAAGTATGCTCCCTATATAAAATAAAAAGTTCATATTTTTACCGCTCTCCATAGCTATGATCCTGATACAGAGTTTTTAGGATGCGAATAATCACATCTGACCAGGATTTCCTTGCAGAATCGTTAAGTTGTAGGACAAATTTTGATTTCAGAATCGCAGAAACACAAAAAGAAATGGAAATGACAAAGAAAAAAATAGTTGTTAATCTCTTGGACTTTATTTATTATAAATAAATTGTTATAAATCTGTTAACAGAGAATTGATACAATAAATCACATATCAGCATAACAACGATTGCCATGAAGGACATAGCATGAATTTACTTTCTACATTACCTAAAATACAACAGTTTTTTTCATCTGGATTCACAGACACTAACTGTTCAGTAATAGTTTTGAAATCCATACTGTTCAAAGTATATTTTACACCACCTAACACTACATCCATCTTTCCTGATTTCCTGACCCTTACTGTGCCTATTTTTCCTTCTGGTAAACTATTCAGCCTACAATCCATATTAGGATTGATTTGCATGTCTTTAAAGGCTAACGACTCTGGCATTTGCCAGACTGTAAAAGAGGGGTTGTCTGTATCACCATCTTGCTTTTGAGGGAGCAGCCTTCCAAGTAGGTCTTCCAAAGTTGGTCTATCTAATTTCTCCTCACTGGTGTTAGTCTTTCTGTACTCCTTAGGTATGAATGGTTGGTATTTATCTGCCTCATCATCACTACTGAACTGAAGAATCTCATCTGAAATATTCAATGAAAAATGTTTCTAGTTAACTCCTGCTTGAGCCAATAAGCAAGGAACATAAAGTCACAAAAAAATAATTAACTCAAGATGTTTTTTGAACGATTGATTGTGTGATGTTGGATGGTCTCTGAATAGCTTAACAAATTTTGAAGCAACTACTAAAGCAGAAAAACAAAAATTATAGAATCAGCATCATTTCTGTAAACTTCTTGAATCACTGCCAATTTTTGGAAATCGTCGATTATCTTTTGAAATATTATTAATCTTCTGATTTTATGTTAACACTTTCAGTGCTGATGTCATGACAATAAGTTTTTTTGTCTGTTGCTGATAACACACTTGCGTGATATCTGACCATTTTTTTTATAAATTTGGCTTTATAGTAATTTTTTTTTACTTAGTTTTAATCAAACTGTCTTGATGTAACCCTTCCAACAAAAAAAATATAATGACTATATATAGGATTCAGTTTACTTAAGACAATTATAAAGTTTAAAAAATTAAAATATTAGAAAAAAAAACAGTGCCGCATCTTTGTTACTTTGTATAATAGGAACTAGCAGCGAAAGTGTTAAAAGAGATTATTGGGAGTTTTAAGAAACTTGCAATTACAAGTGTCTTTTGAAGCTTCAGGCAAGACAACAGATCACAAAGAACAATAAGTGAATCTACTTGACTATTTTGTGACATGTTGAAGACATACAGATAGTTCAGTTTTAGTCTACAACATTTGAGTATACAAGATGATATGTACTGTTTTCAAATACTAAAATGATACTTATGAAGTGAAAAAAAAACAGTACACTTCAAGTTCAATTTATAAGCAGAAAAACTATGGCTTGTTGTGCTGTGAATTATTTATTAGACACAAAATAATACTTTGTATAAAAAATGAGAGAGTGAGGATAGAATTCAGATTAATAAAAAAATTTCAACCTGGACTGCAACTTAATCCTAAAAATTCCATGAATGCACCTACCCATAACTCTACTGGAATTGGTTCCTATATTCTCCACTGTTGTAGTTTCCTTCTTAACATATTCTCTACCCTCACCCCTACTTGAAGGAAATCTACTGCTGGAAGATGGGATTTTGTTTTCAGTGCCAATCCCACCTGAGAAAACACTATCAGCCTGTACAAATCTGTTCTTATTCTTGTCATAGTTGTTCCTCTCATTCCTCTTGCTGAAAATAACACTGCATGATTACACTTTTGCTATGAAAATAGTTATTATTATTACTGCACTGAAATAAGTCTAATTTTATTTCTATATTAATATTTGTCATGAATAAAATGGAAGATTGCAACACTACAACAGAAGCACTGGCATATCAGAAAAATGTCCTGGAGGGGCTTGAATTTCCACAAAAGATACTTCCAAGGAAATTATGCCAGATACTTCATTTTTTTGCACAAAATTAAATGAAGGAACAGAGTTTCTGAGATTGTGACAGTTTCAATCAAAAAATTAAATATATGAAATATGGATCACTTTTAATTTGCTTATATCTGCCTCAAAAACAAATAGATTTTGATGGAATGTAGTGTCTTGGAAAAGCAAAATATGAGACCTTTGACTTTTATGTGTCAGAAGCATTCTCGTTATTCTGTATTAATATTCTGCAGTATAAAAGTCTATTTCTAAGAAGTTGTACTATGTGGAAAATGTATTAGGCCATGGGGGTTTGGGGGAGGGAGGAGGCTTTGAGACACAGATCGGCATGGTAGAAATGGGCTTTATTCTTATATGATGCAAAATTTTAACAGATAGTCAACTAAATATTAAACATCACTGGACTTGCGTTGAAACATTCAATCAAAATTTAGAAAATATGGTCAAAGTTTTGCAGTTGCAATATGTACATTTTATATAATCTTGATTTTGCTATCTGCTGGTGCCAAAATCAAAAATGTTATTATTTTTCGAACATGATTTGTTGTAGGATACTTTTTTTTTGTACAAAGAAGGAATCCTGATGTCAGCTACTCTTTAACATACTTTTTGAGACTCACAGACTTGCTTATCACTCCAACAGGCATCAGAGTTATAAACTGCAAAAATCTATTAAATACGTGTTAAACTGAACTTTTAGGCCATATGGTTGTGATCTGTATATTTACTAGTCGAGTCTACAAAGATGTGATAGCATTTGCAAACAATTGTTTTCGCAAATTTTCTTCACAAGCACATAGGCAAAACAAAAAAAAATCAAAAACTTTTTTTAAAGATGATAATTACCTGTTTCTTTGAGTCTCGTGTCTTCTCTGAGTCGTCTCGTTCACGTTCTGCTTATTTCTCTTCACGTTGAGATTGGGCTTGTAAATGTTTTTGGAAGGCCTATTGCCCCCCAGGCTCAAATCTCTTGGAAGACGTAGTGACTTCAATCTGCAAGCCATTGGGTCCGCAGGAGCTGCTTTCATGAAATCATTGATGTTTAATTTCTGAGTTTTCTTAAGATCCATATTTGATGATATTTAAATACTGCAAAACACGTGTTTGGTTCTGCAATTTCGAATTGAAAATGGTGGGGATGGAATGCGAACTCGCAAAAAACAAAAACGTCAAAAATCAGCTGCAAGCACAGAACAGTAATTGGAAAACATAGAGCAAAATAGGAGCAGAGCGACAACTCAATAGGAAAGTGGATGTGTTTAGGAAAGCTACTATTTTCTAAGCTCTGTCATAAAATATAGAGTACTGATATCGTATATAGATTTTGCCTCAACCTTGACTAATATTAAGAGAACAGCATACGCTTTAACTCAGATTCCCGGCATTTGAATAAATAATTATGTTTAGACCTACAGCAGTTAGTATTTAGCTTTATCATTGCTTATTATATTCGGAAAATTATTATTCTGTGGTAAAGCGCTCTATATCTTTTGACAACATGGAACCTAACACTGGTAGTAGTGACATCAGTGATCAGTGACAGTGAGTGACAGTTGAAGTTAACCTAAAAAAACATTTCGGCACTCTCACGTGTATCTTAAAAACAATAATTTACTAACACACAAATATGGTTTCAAAGAAAAAGAAGAAGGTAAGAATATGTGAAAATCTTTCATAGAAGCCTGCATATTGAATGCTTTTTATATTCCAGTATTCCACTGGAGAGGGAGCGCAATTTTTGACCCGAAAAGCAGCGCTAAAGAAGCTACAGTTGTCTCTCAGGGACTTTCGTAGACTGTGTATTCTCAAAGGCATTTATCCTAGAGAGCCACGTAACAGAAAACGTGCACAGAAAGGGGATACTAGCATAAAAACCTTATATCATGTTAAAGACATACAGTTTTTATTACATGAACCTATAATCTGGAAACTACGGGATTACAAGATATTTAACAAGAAAGTAGGTCGTGCCAGAGCTGTAAAAGACTTCGAGACGTTGCACAAGTATCTCAACAATCATCCAACATTAAAACTAGATCATATAGTAAAGGAGAGATATCCTACTTTCATTGATGCTTTGAAAGATCTAGATGATTGTTTGACACTATGTTTCTTATTCAGCACATTTCCTTCTCTGTCACATGTACCCAGAGATCAATCTGCTCTATGTAGGAGGCTTACTCTGGAGTTTCTACATGGTGTTATTGAAGCAAAAGCTTTGAGGAAGGTGTTTGTTTCAATTAAGGGTTATTATTTCCAAGTAGAAATTAAAGGGGAAATAATTACTTGGATACAACCTCATCACTTTGCCTTTACTCCTCAAAGTAGAGGAGAGGTAGACTTCAAACTCATGTCTACATTTGTAGAGTTTTATACTGTGATGTTGGGATTTGTAAACTTTAGATTGTATCATAGTTTGAACTTGTATTATCCACCAAAATTCTCAGCTGTGACTCAGTCAGACAGTGAAAAATCATTGGTGGATGAAGAGGTATTTGTTTCTGAAAGAGTAGCAGCACTTAATTTTCCATTGGTTAAAACTTCCAATACTGAAACTGATGAATGTGAGTTGGATGAGTTTAACATGGAAGGAGATGCAGAAAAATTGGAAGAATTGAGAAAGGAGGCTGAAAAGGTAAATTTTTTAATCCATGCAGCTACAAAAAAGTATTTTATTGATATTAAAATAGTTACTGCAAAAAAGAAACATCAACATAATAATGTTTGCTCTAACTTAACTTACTATGCCTTTTATAGTTATCAACACTCAATTAATTTCCCTTTTTAAAGGTAAAGAAGCTTAAGACCCTTTTCAAAGGATTGAAGATTTTCTTGAACAGAGAAGTACCAAGAGAACCACTGGTGTTTATTATAAGGTGCTTTGGAGGAGAAGTTTCTTGGGACAAGGATATGTTTATTGGATCTACATTTGATGAAAATGATGAATCTATTACTCACCAGATTGTAGATAGACCATCAATAGATAAGCAGTATATATCAAGGTAAATCATATACCAACCAAAATCAGATAAATGTAATATTTATTTAAAATAAACATGGTCTGCTTCCATCTGCCTGACCATAAGTCAGCCATCCTTGCTTTTTGGCTACTCCTCAGCATGGTCTAGGCTTGAGTCTTTCACACAACAAACAAAATAATATCAACTATACACTATTCAAAGTGTGTGATCTCTCAAAATAAGACAGTGCAAAGCGCCATCTACCACTAGAATCAACCAATGTGAAACAGGGAATTGCAGCCCATTGGTTGGGACTGTATAGATCTTGGTCGGCATATTTGAGGCCTAGGCACAACATTAACCATTAGATGGCAATGATTCTAGCTGAGTAGTGGATTGAACAAAATAAAATAAATATGTTTTGCTTTCAACCATCTGACCAAGAGACAACCAACCACAGGCAGCTGTTTTGTGATTTTTGGATACTCCTGAGCATTGTCTAGGCTTGGGTCTCTTAGACAACAAACAAAAATGTAGCAACTATGCACTGTTAAAAGTGTGTGATCTATCGAAATTAAACAGCCTCAACAGCCCTCTACCACTAGAATCCACCACTGCAGCAGAACAGTGAGTCACAGCCCACCTGTTGGGACTTTAAAGATCTCAGTCCGCAATCTGGAGGCGCATGTACCATGTAGATGGCGCTTCGTGCTGTCTTATTTTAATATATACTTATTAGTATAACTTTAGCCAGTATAGTGGGAATTTTTGAATTTTCTAGAACAATGAAGGTCAGTCAGGTTTTGTAGTAAGTACTGACTCAATGTTTAACTTCTACATCGATTAATGCATTCTGCTTGAAGCTAGCCAACCATGGTCAGTATTCTGCCATCCAAAAAAGAATCTGAAAGATATTAGCGTTATCTGAGAGAATAGTAGAACACAAAAATTAATTTAGTAATTGTTATTGGAAAGAGTGGTTGGTTCTGCTACTCTTTCATACATGGTCCTAGGAGGATCTGCAATCCCCTTTTAGGTGGAATATGCTAATCATTACCTGAAGACACCCAATTAAAATAGGCATATCGGGGTGGCCAAAAAAGGATTGGAGATCTCATTGTCATCTGTGAGCAAGTAGCGAAACCAAACATAGTAAGTCTTTTCAAAGTAGATTTCTAAATTTATCTTTGTGTAAGCAGAAACTGTCTCATAGTTGAATAGCATCTTTCGGATCCCTTTTTGGGCAAGATAATTCAGTATATGGTTGACTGTCATCAGGTAGAATATCTTGATCAGTTGCTTCTTTTATGAACCAAGTTACTTCTTTTCTCAACAGATATTACGTTCAGCCACAGTGGATTTTTGACTGTGTTAATGCCAGAGATCTACTACCAGTGAATAAGTACTTTATAGGGGAGGTATTACCTCCTCATCTGTCACCCTTCATAGACCCAGAAAAGGACCAACAGTACATTCCCCCTGAAGCTAGGGCCATCTATGATGAAAATGAGTTGGAGCAACATCACAAGTTAGAAAATGATGAAGATGAGGCAGAAAGTGAGAGTGAAGAAGAAGAAAATGAAGATGGCGAGAATAATGAGGAAAATGGGAATGCAGATGAAGTTGATGAGGCTGTTGAAGATGAAGATGAGAAAAAGAAGGTATTAAATCTTTGTCTCAATACAAATAGTGTTTTTGAGATAAACTATTGAAATATCACCAAAAGCTTCAATCTTAAAATTACGTGGGCCAGAACTTACCAAATTTATCAGGTCACTGGAAACATTCTTTCTATCAAATCCTAGAGTATTATTCTAAAGGTGACTATTTTTGTTTCAGAAACCTAAGCTATCAGTTACTCCGGGCAAGGTCCACAAAGAGGTGCCATGGGAGAAGAACAAACAAGAGAGGCAAGAATTCAGACTTAGAGAAAAAATGATCAAAAGGAAATACAAGAACTTGTATAAGAGTATGATGGAAGGAAAGAAAGAGAGGTCCAAGGAAATTTGGTTGTTGAGGAAGAAGAGGAGGTTACATGATGAGGGTGAGGCCAAGAAGAAGAAAGAAGAAAAGAAACAGAAGAAAAAAGCTACTGCAGTTGATGCATAGATTTGTGTTTCATGTGAATATATTTTGTTTTAACGAAAGTAGTCTGTTCAATAGGGAGAGGTGAGGAAAATCAAATTACATGATGAGGAATGGCAAAGGTACTCTGTTCAAAATAATGTCAACGAATGTGTGACAGAAATTTAATAGTACTTTGCCTAATGACACCATGCTTTAGCAGAATACTTTTTTGTCCACTATGTCTTGGAATTTACAGTGACGGCGTCAAGTAGGTAAATGGATCTATTCAGTCAAACCGGACCATACAATAAGTCCATAGTTCCCACCCATTTTGACAACATTGCGATCTAGAAATTCTCCCTTGCCCTACCGACAATACTGAACATCTGGCAACATTGCCGAAAGTGTCCACCTCCGGGACGTTTCCCCCCCTCGAATCTGCTTGGACCCTAAAGGTCCGTTTGAATCTGATCACGCACGCACTGATCCACCGCAAATACTCAAGTATATATATCTTGATGTGCGCGAGCAAGAGCGAACGCGCACACGGGTATTATGTAAACAAACCTATAAAACGTCAAGAAAAACTATAAAATGACTAGGAATTTTTAGGATGCAAACGGTTATTCCACTCTTGCTCACTAGGATCGTTCTGAGCGTCCATCGATAGAGGAATGAGTCGAAAACACGCATTGTTGGTTACATATGTGTTGCGAAGCCGAGTAGTCTAGAGTTTTCATCTGTGAGAAGAAAGCTGGTTGAATAGCAAGATCGCATCTGGATGATTGTGTGTATTCGTCTGGATGTGTTAAAACCAGTGATATTTGCTGTGTGAGAAAATCATTACTGCGTATGCTGCCAATGAAGTATATCTATTAGCTATGAACGACGGGTTATTTATGTGTTGTTCTTTCTGAAAACAGGATCTGTTCAAAGCTATAAATTACGTTTTTTTTTACGTTTTTTTGTGTTTTCAAAAACTTTGAGGAGAATTACAGGAAATCACCACCGCGCCCGCGTTGTGTGTAATTACTGTTAGCATGTAGGTATATGAGTTGTAATTCGACAGTGTACAGTGAATATAATTCTTATCTCTCTCATTTTTGAAATTCAGCAAATCGCTGGCTTAGTTCTAATACGGTGTATCCCCAAAAAGCGAATTAACAGTATGTAGAAGAAACGATTAACTCAGGATTAATTTGTCACTTAATGCTGTTAGATGTTTTTATTAGCACATTTGAGATCAACTTTATCTGTTTTAGACAAAATATCGACATGTAGAAACCATTCCAGCCTTGTATGTGGCTTAAGAAGTATTAGCATTTGATCATTATGTTCTGTCCTCGTTGAAGTAAATATTTAGAATACATATCGTAGTACCCTCGTAATAGTACCCAACCGCCACGATTTCAAAGCACGCACGCAGGGAAGGAATGCGGCACCGCGCCCCTTCCCCCTACCTTTCTCCTCTCTGGCCGCCTATAATCCTTCATTCCTTGTTTTCATGCCCGACCGTCAAGAATTTAATCGACGCGCGTCGTTTACGTGCAGTGTCAAGGATGCGCTGAACATTTAGAATTAGAAAACAGGACAGAAGGTTGGCCGAAAGATGTGCATTGTCGAACGAGGTACCGACCGACGGTCGGCTGAAGGTTCCTTCGTCGCGGACCAAAATTAGAAAGTGGCGTAAAGGTCTCTTTTTCTGAAGGGTCGTCACCATCAGGCAACTGTCAACGCTGAAACATTGGACTCGGTTGCTTGGGATAGCAACGTGGACCTGGCTTGGAATAGTCAGCTCCACACCAAGGACGAACGAAGACGTTTGGGATAACATGGAAGCATTAGACTCGGTTGCTTGGGATAGCAACATGGACCTAGCTTGTGATAGTCCACACCAAGGACGAATGAAGATATTTGGAAAAATGACTCAATGCTGAACTTGATTGCACAAATAACAACACTGAAAGCGTTTGGGATAACGTAGCAACATGATCAACAATCTTTTCTCATTTGCTTGTGATAGCAAATTTCAATGATTTGTGATAACCATGGAACAGGACTGTAAGTTTGAACATGGCAGGCTAGGAAGTTAAGATAGGTATATTTTTTTCCTTATTACCAAATAGAGATTAGGTATGTTATGCGAGGTTAGCGTAGCGTTACATTTTGCTTGTGACGGCAAATTCCATCTGGTTTGTGATAACCCTGCAACAGCACAATAAGAATGCACAAAACAGTTTAGGAAACCGCCGAAGTACCATTTTGTATCAATAACAAATAGAGATTAGGTTCATATGCGAGACTAGCGTTACATTTTGTTTGAGACAGCAAATTCCATCGAGTTTCTAATAGCAATATAGCATTTTTCATTTATAACATAAAAATTGGGTACATCTATGTAAGACTAGAGCGGTATTTTTTGCTTGGGATAGCAAATTCTATCTGGTTTGTGATAGCAATGTAGCAATATAACATTTTTCATTTATAACAGATACAAATTGGGTACATCTATGTGAGACTAGCGGTACATTTTGCTTGGGATAGCAAATTCCATCTGGTTTGTGATACCTATGGAACGATATTTTAAGGATACACATGAGAAGCTAGGAAGAAGCCGAAGTACCATTGTTCATTAATGTACGACAGATATTAGCTACATCTATGCGAGACTAGCGTTACATTTTGCGGGTGATAACAAAATTCCACGTGGTTTGTGATAACCGTGGAACAGGTGTGTAATTATGAACATGTGAGGTTAGAAAACCACCAATGTATATATTTTTCTTATCAATGAAGAATAGGCACCTTATGCGAGGTTAGCGTTACATTTTGCCTAAGCAAATTTCATTTGGTTTGTGATAACCTTGGAATATCTTTGTCAGAATGCACATGACAGTTTAGGAAACCACTAAAGTACCATTTTTCGTTAATATCAGATAGAGATTAGGTTTTATCTATGCGAGACTAGCGTTACATTTTGCTTGTGATAGCAAATTCCTTATGGTTTGGAATAGCCATCGAACAGGTCAATAATATGTACATGACAGGTTATGAGACAGCTGAAGTACTATTTCTCATTAACAACATATAGAAATTAGGTACCTACATCTATAGTAGACTAGCGTTACATTTTGCTTGGGATAGCAAATTCCACATGGCTAGTGATAACTATGGAACAGGGCTGTACGTATAAACATCTCCGGTTAGGAAACCACCAACATTTTAATGTTCAGTAATAACGGAAGTTAAATATTATGCCCGATTAACGTTACATTTTGCATAGGTAGGCACTCGAACAGCAGGGCGGTCTGGATTGTGTTGTCTTAAAGGTCATCTGGTCTGTTCCAATAGATGACGCATCACCACGATGATGCTTCCAGTGATATCTTGCTCTTCGGTGTAGGTCTGACCAAGTAAGTCAATTCTAAATAGAAATCAGATAAACTGAGCAGCCATAAGGCCAAACATTTCTGGAATACCTTAAGAAAAAATTGACCACCTTCAGGTTCAGTATTAAATTGTGACAGAAAGAAAGTAACTTTACTGGAGCGGACGATGCAGCCATTACTAAACCTAGTAAGGGCAATAATAGACAGCAACCAAGACAGAGTCCGAAACTGTGCGGTGAACATCGGGATCTTGGTGTCAGCTTGTCTTTCATTTCGTTACAGCCGACTATACACTAACGAGTGAAATTTCTTGCCTTGTAAAATTGTCAAGGGAATTTTAACGCTACTATGCTACTAACATAATATAACTTAAGGTCTACCTCGGCTGGGGCTCATTGAAACTGGCAGATGCGGTCCGAGGTATTGATTTATCCAATGTTTAGGTGTATAATTTCTCGGACTGGAACATTCGTTGGCGAGGATGGGGTCTCTAGTTTCTGGTCACCCGAAAAGATCCCGAATGATAATCATCAAGAACCACTGGTAGTTTTCTTCTGTGGTGAATGCTTTGCTACCGAATTGATGGGCTGTCGCATATTATAGCCCATCCTTCCTCACTAGACTGGAGAGCTTCTAGTTTCCACGTCTGGATCAGGTTGCGGGAAAACTACGGCAATTGTGTAAACAGAGAAATCTTACTGCCCTCGCGTCAAATATAAAATCTAGGGGTAATACTGGCACAGATGAGCTTTTGCGTCAGTGGGACGTGTACACGGAGTTGGAGCTGCACCTGTCACCGTTCTGATTTTGGTTCAACTATTCAGTGTTTCTGAAATTTCACTGCTAGAAGTAACGCAAGGATCTGATGGAGGGACCCAGGACGCCGCTCCCACTAATTCTGAAGCTTACACTGGTTATCGTCACTGGAAAGCTGTCATTCCAATCAACATCGATAATCCATCATGTATTGTGGGCTTAGATTACGGTAGGACCTTTTTCGGGAAGAAATACATGTCTGGTTTCCTACCTTGAAATTTCTTACCTTACAGGTGATAAGAGATCAAGATAAACTTGTTTGAGCTACCAGTCTTTTACCCAAAATGTTATGCAGACATAAGATGGTTTTTGAAGGGCATTTACAGGCTGAGGCCATCTCAACTGAAATATAGATACTGTGGTTGTTCTCAACCACTCAAAGGGGTTGCTGGCAAGCTCTGTAGATATTTGGATGAGGAAATCAGCAACACTGCTATCTCTAACCTCAGGTCAGAGTGTGCAAACTAATTGAAACAGGCAACATCCGGATTAGGTTGAATAATACTGAAATTGGGATTTCTCAGTTTTTGAAAGCCTCTGGGTCACTCATGTGGCAACCACTTAAGTTTTACCATATTTTACGTTATATAATCGTTTATTATTTGCTAATAACAAAGAAAAACATAATATGAGATCATACAACTTCAATTGTTATCTTGTAATAAAGAATAAAAACAAATTCAGGCTGGAGACTTGTCACAGTAGACATAAACTCGGTAACAAGCGAAGAGAAGAAGAATCCTGGATGAGTCAATTTTGTTTCTTGTTTTTGGAGTTATTCGTATCATTATTGCACTTTTGTTTTTCCGAAATAAAGAGATTTCATAAAAAAAAGATTATACAACACATTTGACTGCCTTTTACGTTTTTATAATTACCGTCATTTTACAAATTAGGTTTCCCTGACTTTTTATCAATTTTATATACACTCACTTTCTCTGCTTGCCTCGGGTTTGTAGAACTATTAGGATACTTTAAGATTTTGTTTTGTTCGTGAGCCAAGTAACAATTTTTTATGACCTCTCAACTAAGATACCTTCATTTTTTAGTTTCTCATTATCCGCGACGACTTTTCTGGATCTTCTTCGGCGTTGTTTGGCATCCTATAGTTTCTTCTGTCTCTTTTGTACTTCCTTCATATTGGAGAGCATTGTGAAAGTGTATATCTTCAGATATTTTACTTTTTTGAATCCTTGCAAATGATCCAATTTTTTTTTTGTTATCTTAAAATCTTAAGCCTGGTCTTGTAGAACGGTTTGGGCGTATAGGTTATAACAATTTGTTTTTGGCGTTGAGGTAAGACTTCATAAGGATCATTGTTTTCCGATTTGTAGTAGAGTTGGCCAGTGCTATCATATCTTAGGCATCTCAGATCGTTCACCTTTAAATAGTTTTTCTTATTTCCTGGACGTATGGAATTGTACCTTTTACAGTTGTATTTCGAAATTCAGAAAATACCAATGTTTTGGGTACTCAACGTCCAAAGGGAATGATCGCATCTCTAACTAGGTTTATGTAATCGGTAGGAAAATGTATGCCTTTCCCTCTACGGCGCCTTTCAATGAGACAATGAGTCGAGTCACACTCCATTTGAGTGTAACCCTTCTCCAGATACTTCTGCTCAATCACTATATTATACCGTGTGGCCAATAGAGACAAGGCATTGGACAATGTGCTGATTTTGTTTTGGTATCCGCAACTATCTGACCACAACACAATCGGTTTAGCTAGAGTATTTAAAGCAGACTCTCCTTCAGATCTTTCCGTATATTTAGAGTAATGCTATAGCTCATTTGATAAATGTCACTTTACAGAATGCGCCAAGTGAATCTATCTGAATTGTTCTCATATCGCAGTACCGAACGGTACGGAACCGCCCCCTCAGAGCTAACTCACAGTCGTTATTAATGATGAAGCGTAAGCCAGCGAACTCTTTGGAGTAGTTCGGTAACGTTCGATCCTGCGACCCAGACACAACCCTTGAGTATGTTTTAGAATGCCATTTCAATAAACCGATAATCACTGACAATGAATACAACCCGCTGAAGCGTATTCAAGATAGCGCTAAAATCCAACAGCTCAGTGTAATAAACGGAGCCTATGTGTCGGTGAAAGACAGAGTACAGCCATGAGTACCATGTATGCTACTATGGATGACAAAAATCCAAGTTAAGTGTCAAGCAACAGCAGAAATAAATACTTTGAAGTTGAGTCATTAATTTGCAGATAATGATTGTAGAAGGAAGATAAACCAAAATATGTGTGTAAAAATAAAAAAAAAATTATACAAAAATTTTTACCTTGTTTTATAAAGTATCCTCCCGACAAGTATTTCAGTGCGGACCTGTCTTGGAGCACCGGCATGCCGTCACCTGATTCACGAGCCCGTTATACTACATTAACAAAGGCACGAGGGGTTGGTTGCACTCGATTGGGAAACCGATCCGCATAAACATGTTCCATTTTTTATTTCGTTTGAGCCACGCAACAGACACCACTATTCACTGACACTGACTATATACAAATGGATAAAATAATTGTAAAAACATCGTTCCAAATTCTTTCGCTTTTTTGTTTCCGATGCGATGAACCGATACGGCGGATTATATCCGTTGTCGCCAAACACGAGCACATAATATTATTATTGAGACAGGGCGGTACTCAAACTTCCAAAGTGCTATAACTTTGTTACTTTAATTTTACCAGAAAAATGGTAAAGGAAAAAAACATTTCTTTTGATCAGATCTACTCACTGTTAAAATAAATGACTCAACTTCGAAGTCACCCTGTATCTAGAAGATCCATTAGCATTGGGATCGTTGTACGTTAATTTTAATTTATCGTATACTAACAGAACAGTTACAAGATCCAATAGGCTGTAAGACGGGGTTTTCACGATACGAGTGCATTCGGTCCGAGTGCACTCGGATGGGTACTCGGAGCGTGGAAACCGGTAATGCGAGCACACTCGGATGTTATCGTCCGATCAGAGTGAACTCGGACCGTGTCCTACTTTTACGAGCTGACTCGGATCATTGCGGTTACATCAAAAAGGCGTCAAATGTAAATGTGCAACCGCTTCGGAAAAAAAGGTGGAGCGAGCGCGATACACTGAAGTTTGTTGAGCTGTATGAAGCAGAAGAGGTATCGTGGAACGTAAGACTTAGTTCTTACAAGAATAAAGACGAAAGAAATGCTGCTCTGCAGCGCATTATAAATAACTTAAATATAGAAGGCACCACCATCCAGGATATCAATACAAAAATAAATAACATACGTAGCACGTATTCACAAGAAAAGATGAAGATTAAAAAGTCACAAGGAACTGGATCGGGGGCTGACGATATGTATACACCATCTGTCCCATGGTTCGAAATAGCCGACAGATTTCTGTCTGAAATGATTAAGCCGAGAAAAACCTTTCAAAATCTGGTAAGTACTACTTGTAACTTCATCCTAGAGAGAGAAATGTAGTTTTGATGCCATTTTATTTATTTTAATCCTGCACAAGTTTGTCCTTTTTGATCAAGTGGGTTTTAAATAGACTGACAAGGTCTATGCTTCTTTTTACAACGAGTAGTGGAACTGCTTAAAGAAAAGCTGGTTTTTGATCATATACCTACTATATTCGATGGTATGATTTCCTAGTATTTCTCATTTATACCCAATCGATGAGTTAACCATAAGTACAATAAAACAACAAGATATACATTCATATTATTGGTTTATTATTTTACAACACAAGTATTACTGCTTGACTAAAATATCCTGTCATTTTGCCATGAGAGAGCACCTTGTCCAATAAAATAATTTTTATAGTTGCTTCTTTTTTGTTCTGCTAACTGGGAATAATTATTACTGCCCTGATTCTGCATATCTGCAATATAAATAGACCTAAGCTCTTGTCTCCATGCACCAGATCTATCGTCCGTGTCCATACTGCCGACGGGTGCGTATGATCGCGAAGCTGTTTTGAGTAGCCAATTATGCATCGCGCAAGTTGCCTTTACTATTTTGTCTACTTTATCTGGACATACATATATCGGAGTACGATAAATACGGAATCTTGATACCATTATTCCGAAGGCATTTTCTACTATTCTTCTCGCTCGAGAAAGTCGGTAATTATAAATTTTTTCTTCGTCCGTCAAAGGCAGCCTACGAGAATAGGGTTTCATCAAATAGCATGTTAACGGAAATGCTTCGTCTCCTAATATAACACCCCAAGAAGGAAAATTCAGTGTGCCATCTTCCAATTTCTTTTTCAGTATTGAGTTACTGAAAATTGAAGCGTCATTCATTCTGCCTTGGCTTCCCGCATCTATATATGTGAAACAGTAGTTACTGTCTACAAGTGCTAAGAGAACAGTACTACAGTAACCTTTATAGTTATAAAAATCACTTCCACTGTGTTCTGGTTTTTGTATGTTTATGCGCTTTCCATCCAGTGCGCCGCAACATCCAGGAAAGTTCCAACGATGATTGTACCCTCTTGATATAACATCCCATTCCTCGTATGTTTTCGGAACCTGTAAGCCATACAAACGAACCTAAAATTAGTTTTATTTTATTTCAGGTACAATTCGACGAGTCAAGTTTCCCTTCCCCAGATGCATTATCAGAAATCCCTTCACAAGAGGTGCCAGTCTTACCAGATATACCACATTCACCGGATATACCTACCAGCCCTCCCTCAGATTTGTGTGCCCATCCATCGCCTAATAGTAGCCATTTTACTGTACCCCCGCATCCAGCTAGGAAACGCGCAAAGAGAGCATTGCCTCAACATATTGAAAAATCAATCGAGACACTCCAGTCAATTAAAAATCAAGCTCTGTGTAATAGAGAAGTAGAAGACGAGTTCTATTATTTTGGCAAAAATATTGCTAGCCAACTACGACAACTACCACTAACCGATGCTCTCGATGCTCAGACAGAAATTTTAAATTTATTAAGAATGAAAAGGCAGCATATTCTCCAGCAGACTAGCTTTTCTAGCTACTCACCACAATCTGAATGCTTTATCGAAATACCAGACCATGTGGATATATTTGATGCTGGTCAAAATATTCCCATTCGAGTTTTAAAAACATATACTCCACCAAATACTGTCATTCAGGCAACAGGGTCTGAAAATGACGTTCGAGCAGAGAATATATTAGAAGAGGCTATAAGAAACATACGGACTATTAGTGAAGATGCTGTGCCTGAAGATCCTGGAAAATAACATATCAGAAGTAGCTATCACAAAATTAATTCACTCCTCACCCAATAGAAATGTGTATTTACTTGAATAAATAATTAATACGATTTGTACTTACTGACTTGTATAAATTCTTCCAATGCCTCGTAAATAGCATCTAACACTGCAGGTAGAAACTGGGATATCGAGGATTTTGGAACCCGAAAGTTACTCTCCAAACTGCGAAAGCAGTCACCAGTAGCTAGATAACGCAAAACTATCTCAAGCTTAACCCTTGCTGGTAGCGCTTCCCTCATAAGAGTATCTGCCTTCTGTATTTTTGGTGCAACTCTTTTGAGAAGAAATTCAAATTGTGTGCTGTTTAATCGTAAATGATTTTTATAGGTATCCTGATCTTCTATGTTTACTTCACAAAGGAAATTATTTGATACACCCTGTTGATTACGCCGTAAAATCCAATTGCGGGTCCAAATCTTTCTTTTGCTTTTTTTTCTTGGTTTTTGTTGCCCTTCTATTTCCGAAATAAGCATATCTGCTACTACTTCTATGCCTTGTAGCAATAAATTAGTCGACATGATAACATTAACGAACTGAAATAAATGCTACTCGGAGGCTGCTTTAACTCGGAACGTGTAGACTACTATCTAAGTAGACTCCTATACGATTTAGCTCGTACCGCGCACTCGGACCGAGTGTACTCGTATCGTGAAAACCCCTCTTAACCAATATTCACTTTTTAATCAAACTTCCGAGCATATTACTAATGACGCCTTCGAATCGAAGTGTACATTTCTGATAACATTTCTTAGACACTTACCCTGGCGTAACGCATTATTGTCAAAACACCATAGATATCATTATTTGGTCAAATAAAGAGAGCACTGTCTAGCAACCAACACAAGCACGTTCAGTGAATGAAGTGGATGTTGAGGTTGAGCTTATTGGAATCGAAAATAACAGCTGATTTAGATACGACATATTAGAATATGCGCAAAAATGGTGGTTTTATTAGCAGGTTGGCCACGACAAATAGTCGCATGATAGAAACACCCTTTTTCATTTGAAATCCATCAAAATCTGGATTTTGACATTTTGGGGGATACGTCGTATTAGAACTAAGCCATCGATATGTAAATTTCAGAATGGATAAGAAAAAATGAATGCACAACTAATTTCTAGCTTTAAATCTCAAGTAAGTGTATATTATTAGCACACAAATATTTACTATGCACCTATGCATTGCCCTTACCTTCAGTAATGCCAACTCTGAAGCAGATTTTACATCACATCAGAGCCAAACATTGATAACTGAAGCCTCATGACGTTTAGGCAACACGAACAACTACAAAACGAGTTCACTACATGTCCAACAGCTAGTGCGAAGTTAACATCTTGTAGAAGAACCTACATAATGTCACAAAAAACAACATACATAATGCCAAAAAAATCGACATAATGTCACTTTTTAAGATACGTAACACCCGTGTGGTGTCAAGACGTTGCTGTAAGGAATTAATGGGTTCGCGGATGCTCAGTGATGTGGGCAGAAAGGACAATGCGGCGAACAGGATTGAAGAGTTGTTTGTATTTATTCCAGTAAACGATGGAATGGAACAGTACTAAAGTTTTAAAACTCTTGCAATAGTTTGAGAAATTACCATTTACCGATTATTCAAAATCTAAAAAAAAAATGAGGCATGGTAACAACTAGTAATCAAATATAGCATTGAAAATTAAGACTGCTGCGAAGCACAGAAAAAATTAAAAATCTGATGGGATCATTTCGTCGCGAAAAAAGCAAAATAAGTTTTTACTCTCTGAAAAGATACTGCAAGCTGCTGTAGGAGTTTCCAGTTGACAAAAAACGCAAGGCTATGGCTAAACGTTCTCTTGGTGATATAGATTTTCGAAACTGTGTATCATTTTTCATTACCATTGGTGTTACCAACGTAAGCAGGTATTCAAAGTCAGCCTTGATCTCTCTTGGAAAATTTCTGAATTGATCATACAGACTGTCTGATACTAATTCCTTTAATAAATTATTTTTGTTTTGCATAGAAATTGACCCACGACGATATCTACGTTTCCGATTTTCTTTGCTTTTAATTAATGTTGCCGCGGCTGTATCTCTATTCTCCATGTTATTCGCGTACGCTGGATAAGCCCATGCGTTGAAAAATGAATTACAGTTTAACAGCGAACGAATGCGTGGGCGTATGCTCAGTGCGTGCGTGTTCATATGTAAACTCACATTTACGTATTTACCATGTTTTTGTGAAGAATTTGGGGATTTGGCACCCCCTGAGAAAATTTGCTACCCCCGCTCAGCAGCCATGGTAGCTAACACCGACTGCGAAACACAGGTATTCGTCGGTCGCGCCGCGACGCAGGATACTTCACTATCATATCATCGTCACAGATGTGATCTGTGAAATATGCTTATTGTTACGTAGAATTACCGGGGTTGGAAGCCAGTGAAAAATATCCTTACGTCAAAAAATTGAGATGTACCCTCTCCAACCCCAACTCCCCCCTTTCAACCCATACAATTTTTTTCTAAAACGATCTGAAACTCGAAAAACAATTTGATAGCTTTTGTTTAGTTATGAGGGGTCAAGGATTAGTGAACAGAAAACAGGCAAACAGACAGATAGGCCGACGAAAATGAGTGACCTTTTTCGTTATGTGCATGTCCTACTCGTATAACTTCCAAAAAAGACATTTACAAAATTCTTCGTGATTAAAATACTTCATCACTAGTGGCATGGGAAGTAAAATGCAAATATGACAGGCATAATTTCTATTTAATAAAAAAATAAATTATAAAAGCAAATAAATATCTCGCAGTATCAGAAACATGATTCAAACGTTCTTATACATTCTACAAATTCCTTTATTGTCTCGATACAGTCCAGGACCACACTGTTCATATTCAGCACCTAAAAGTTTCAACGTATTTTCTTCCTTCCGTACGTTATTCTTCACGTCTTTCTTTTCATCTCCAATTGTATCTTGTTCGAGAGTGACAATGATTTTTTCGTCGGGAACTGTTAGCAGGAAGGCTCGGGCGTTTCTTTTTTGTTTCAGCGGGCCATTCTTCCTGAAAGAAAAACGAAAAAAGGAGTCAAATGAATTGATGTGATTAACATTATTAGTGATACGTTAAAAATGAAGATGTCTGGTTTCAGAATGTTTGAGATATGTATAAATGATTGGACAGCTTAAAAACGTCTATAAGCGATGTATCGACTTTGTCAAAACTGCTGTCTCCTCCAGAGAATGTTTCTTTCTTGTCCCCTCAATTAGGAGCGCGGAAAACATCGTAATAAAATTCTACACCAGTTAGGTTATTTATCATAATAGGCACATGCACTAATATTTATGTTTGTCCCTTTTGCCATATTAACTCAATAACTACTAACATCAAAATGAGGTTTACAGCACCACGATATTTCCGAAAGAGGCAATTATAGCCCTGTTCATAATCTCTCTAATTCTCTATCGTTTGGCACAGGTAAAAATGTTTTTCTGGAGCTGATATGTCTGTACACATAGATACAATATGGTAATGCCCTCCTAACCAGATTGGCCCGACCGCACATTGAGAATATTCGACATGCATCGAGAAATATTTCGATATATTTTTCATCTACCAGCTTGGATGAGAAGATTCGAGTTCTGTCTAGAAAATGCGGGGACGCTTCTGGATTCGTCGAATTAAAAAATTAATACATGACAGAGGGTAGATAGAGGCAGAGTCGACCGATGAGTCAACAGCGCGGATCACCATAGTCAAGTCGACATGGTCAAACATTTGTAATAAATTTGTTGCAACTGTTGGTTGTAATACATTAGTATCAGGGTAATGAAGTAGGCTTTATATAGGGTGTAAACGTTATGATAGTCATTATTTAAATGGGTGATAGAGGGGGCCAAAGGAAGCAAAACGGCATTTCTTTAGAGAAAAGCGACTTTAAAATAAAATAAAATCTGACAACGCCGCAATGCCAGAGACAAATCACGACGGAACACAGTGTAAATAAAGATGGAGTTTGCTATTTTTGGCTCTTAGGTATTATTTCATTATTTGATAATGTACTCGTAAAATGCAAACAATTAAAAAAACGGACTAACTGTCTCAGTGCTTCACTTGGTGTGTGAAAGTTTATTGAACGTATTAAAAAATCCACTTATAAATAGGAAACACAATTTTGATACATACATTGTTTGTCTTTTTAAAACCCACACTGCGCTTTTTGTATTTAAAGGAGGTGTTCAAAATGTCGTCCTCCACTTTCCACACAGGCTTCATTACGATGAACCCAGTTTCTTCTTACTCTAGGTCCTCGAAGTTGTCCATTTATTATTTCATCGCCTTAATTTTTTTTTCGCGAAGTTGTGTTTCAGTTGTTATTGGACCAGACCCATAAACCATCCCTTTAAGTTCTCCCCAATACCAGAAATCCATCGGATTGAGGTCAGGAGATCTTGCTGGCCATTTTCGAGGATCAGGAGCATTTCAACCGATCCAGCGATTTGGATAATGTTCATTCAAATACTGAATGACGAATCTAAAAATGAGTGGTGGTGCGCCGTCATGAAGAAACCACAAATTCTGTCTCCGTTGTAACGGTATGTTGTCTAAGGTCTATTCCAAGAGTTCCGGTAGGTTATTGGCTAGAAAGCTAAGGTATCCTTCTCCTGACAACTTTGTGGGTAACTCAAAAGGACCAATTACCTGATCGTCAAGAATACCCGCCCAAATATTTATTTTAAAACGTTGTTGGAAATGACCTTCACGAATGGTATGAGGATTTTCTTGGGCCCACGTGTGAGTATTATGGAAATTTAATATCCTGTCTCGCGTAAAAGTACATTCGTCCGTCGCTAGAATGTTTTTAAAAAAATCCGGATTTTCAATGTTTTTGTGCAAAAACCACTGACAGAATGTTAGTCTGCGAGGATAGTCTTCTGGTAACAAGGTCTGCACTCGTTGTACATGGTAGGAATAAAGCAAATTTTCCCGTAGGATTCCATGGATTATGGTATCCAATATTTAAAATTTGTTCCTCCTGCTTTACATTAACCTGTCTTTCACGAGTGCGAATATTAGTGGGCTGAACACTTCCTGTATCTCGAAGTCTTTGGTACACTTGCACAAACGTCCTTCTGTCTGGGTGTACCCTGTGGCGATAAATTTGAGCTGCAAGATTTGAATTCTGACGAGAACATTGTAAATAAACACGATGACGTACGCGAACAAAAACAAAACAACACGCCCGATGCTCTGCTCGACAAAACGATAAAGTAATTTATCTATGCAAAACGATAACTAACCGCTGTTACCGTTTGCGATCGATTGCCGGTTCGATATATATATACATATATATAATTCAGCGCTTCAGGCCTGAAGGCCCATGGCTTCTATCTTTTTGACAACTTCTTTCCACGCTTTTCTATGTTTGGTCTTTTCCTCCCAGTCTGGTATGCCTAGTCTTTGTATATCCTCTTTGACACTTTCCAGCCACTGCTTCTTCGGTCTTCCTCTTCTTCTTCTACTACCTTCTCCTCAAAACAAAACTTTTTTGGCATTCCTATGAGACGGCATTCTGTAAACGTGTCCTAACCAGCGCACTCTTTGAGCTCGGGCTTTTTGTATTATACTGGGTTGGTTATACATCTCCATCAGTTCTTTATTAGTTCGCTTTCTCCATGTACCATCGTTGTTTTTTGTGCCCCCATATATTTTACGTAACATTTTTCTTTCCCAGCGTTCCAATTTCTGTACGTTTTTCTGGCTTAACACCCAAGCTTCATCGCCGTAAAGTACTGATGGTTGGATAACTGATTTATATATCCTTTCCTTTGTTTTCCTTGATATCCACCTCGAGTTTATCATCTTGCTTAAAGCCCCCATTGCTTTACTCCCTTTTGCTATTCTTTTTTCAATTTCTAAATCTTCTTCTGCTTTATCTGTTATTGTGACCCCTAGATATTCAAATTGATTCACCTTCTCGAAACAGTATTCTCTGCAACTACTTCTTATTGTTAACTTTCCTTCATTGCTTCCTCTCATTTCAAGGTATTTTGTTTTGTCTTCATTTATATGAAGCCCAAAACGTTTGGCAGTTTCTTCTAACCTTCTAAACGTCTTCTCAAGTTCTGCTTTGGATCTGGTTATTATTGCTATATCATCGGCATAAGCAATCAACTGATGTTTTCTATAGTAAACAACTCCGTCGGTTTGTATACCACAATTACGTAAAATAGCTTCCAGCGTAAAGTTAAACAATGTTGTAGATATCGGGTCCCCTTGTCTCAGGCCTCTCGTTACGCCAAAAGCTCTAGATGTTTTCCCTTCCAATGTGACTTTGTTCATTGTCCCGTTCATTGTCATTTTGACTAACCTTATCAGTTTACTTGGTAGTCCCAGCAGTCTCATAGCTTCATATAATTTTTCTCTATCAATGGAATCATACGCTTGCTTGAAATCAATAAATAATGCATGTAAACCAAGATTTTGTTCATAGCTATTATAGAACAGCTGTTTCATTGTAAATATTTGATCTATTGTGGACCTGCCCCTTCTAAAACCTCCTTGATATTCACCTATAACCTCATTTTCATATATGCTCAATCTGTCCCTTAGTTGAAATGCTAGTATCTTATATGCAGTGTCTAACAGGGCAATGCCTCTATAGTTTTCACATGAACTTTTATCACCTTTTTTGTGTATTGGGCAGATTACGGCGTTTTTCCATTCATCTGGTAGTTCCTCTTGATTCCATATATATCTGATCAGACTTCCAAGTCGCTTGTGTAAATCTTGTCCACCCGCTTTTATTATTTCTGCTGTGATTCCATTTTCTCCTGGACTCTTATTGTATTGCCGGTTCGATAAGAGTGCTGAAAGACCGACACGCTGTTGTCATGTGTGTTTTAAATATTTAATTTAATGAAACTTACTTACTTACTGACTACAAATTTTGGCTTAACTTATTTTTTTATTTGTTAATTACCCAATTTAAAATCGTTTTAGATTAGATTATAGAAATTAGTAAGATTGTGGAGATTGTGGTCGATATAAAGCACTTAAAGTTGTAAATTTTAAAGCCGTTGAGACAAAAATCTATTGACTTTTCGACCATGGGTCATATGAACTTTTTGACTTGTTTTGACCCCTCCTATTACCCATTTCAATAATGACTACCATAACGTTTACATCCTGTATAGTAAAAATATTACAATAGGGTATTTGTAAGTCGGAGATTTTTTACCCACTTTTACCATAATTCGTTAATACGGAGCAGCGTTTGTAAATGGCGCAAAGCGTGCGCGTCGGGCGCATCGCGTTGTGATGGCGATATTCGGTGAAATGCCAGTCATACTCCAGCAAGATAATTGTCCAAATAAGAAACTTCTGCCGACTGGGAGGGGCTCAGGAACTTCTTCTCCACCTTTCCTTGCAGATATCTTTGTTTCGGTGAAACGGATGAATCGGCTGTTTGTTCATGGATAAAAGAAATTATCCATGTTGGGATGGAGGAATACATCCCTCATACAACAGCGAAAGTGCCTAAACCAGGATCTTACGGCTGGTTCAACAAATCGTGCGACACTGCTCGTCAGTAGAAGATCAAGGCACACAGAACCTTCCTACAAAACCCCACTGTACAGAACAGACAAGCCGACGTCGACTCCAGAAACAAATATAACGAAGCGGTCTGCAATGCCAAAGACTAGCATGATGTAAAAGTTAGGCAGCGGAATGGCAGACGGCCTTTCTAGACGCTGGCCAAGCGGATTGAAAGGGACTCCTTTCAGAATAGCCTTCCACCACTTACGTGTCATGGAAAGATTGTAACCGACCCAGGAGCTAAAGCGGAAGTGCCTGCCAAGATCTATGCTGCCGACTCCACCATGGATGTCCCCTCAACGCCCGAGTGCCGTCGATTTAAAGGGTTCCTACACTATGAGGGAGGTAACAATCAGGCATAAGACCGTAAGACGGCTCTTGTCACTCGGCATCAACAAAGCTTCTGGTCGGTCGCAGTCGGTCCGGATTTCATTTCTAGCGTTGTATTGTATTATAACAGTGGAGCTAAGACCGACCCTGCTTTCTGTTATAAGTAAGGTGATACAGAGGTGCATAAACCGTGAGCTTGTGGACTACCTCGAACGTCACTGCTTGATTAGCGATAGGCAGAGTGGTTTCCAGCACCATCGATCCACAGGGGACCTCCTAACTTACGTTACGCAATTATGGAGTAAGCTCATTCAGTCTTAAGGTGAGGCTCATGTCATTGTTCTTCTATCCTATGGCCACCCAGAGAAGTAGATAGCAGATAGATTGCTGACTTTCTCCATAGATAGGTATCCGTTGTAATTGACAGGTTCTCATCTTAATCCCACAACGTCAACGCGAGTGTTCCCCAGGGATCGGTCTTGGCTCCGACACTGTTCCTCTTAAATATCAACGACCCGTTTTCCTGTACGATCTAACCAATCCACAGATTTGGTGATGACAGAAATTCAGAGCGACAATCCGGTCTTTGCCGGTGAGCTGAGAAAAAGAAGACTAGCAGCGACTTCCTTTCTGATGAGAGACCCGGAGTTTATTTTTTCTCGGAGACGCAACAATCTTGTACAGTTTAATGCTTCCAAAACACAGTACTTTGCCTTGACGAACAAAAAGCGACCCAGCGCTTATCCGCTTTCGATGGATGGCCCAGTTCTGCCAAAGGGCCGTTCATTTCGGCTGGTCGGAGGACTTGATCTAGGACGAAAACATCTCGTCAATAGCGGCAGCTGTTGGGAAAAAGCTAGGCTATTTGTTTAGGGCTAAGAAGTACTTTTCTCCGCATGACTTCCTCACTATATACAAGGCCCAGATAAGACCTAGCCTCGAGTATTGCTCACTTGTTTAGGATGCTGCCGCCCCGACTAGATCATTAATGCTCGATGCTGTCCAGAGGAGGGCTGTCCGACTGGTCGATGAGTCTTATCTAATAGACAGTTTCTGGACGCTTTCGCACTGGCGGGCCTATGGCGATCAAGCTCTCTTCTAACACTACACCGACCGACTTTGGTTCTCAAGACTCTCCTCCGCCGCGTGATGTACCTGCCATACAGATCCGCCTGACTTCCGGCTCCCAAAACTACTGTGCCGAACTTTGTACGTCCTGAACTAGCCGATGCAACAGATCGTTTGTCTCGAGGGAGTCGAGATTGTCGAACAATCTACAACATGAGGTTTCTCCCAGTTCTACTGACCTTAGTCAGTTCAAAACTTGGATTAACAAAATTTCTTTAGGATCCTTATCGAAGAAGCGGGGTCCTGGCATTTAGGCATCTGACTGTGCGGCTGCTTCGGTGTAAAAAAAACTTTTTGGTAGCGTAACTTTGTCACTTTTAATGGTATTCAACAACTTGTTCATTGCTGTGCTTCACTTAGGCTAGAATTTAAAGAGTGTTTCAACAAATAGGAAACTTCCTAACCCACAGTGTACATGAAAGCAACAATAATGATAGGTTAATGTTACATCAAATTAAAGTTCCTGCTGAATTTATTATTTGCAATATTCATATGCTCAAATCTTTTCAACAGACATCACAAGCTTCAAGTTTAATAATCTGGTATAGAAAAGATAGTGTAAGCAAAGTTATGATTCCATGGCCAACTGGTTTCATTCATTTTCGATATTTTGTTTTTTCATTTTTTGACAGGTTTTCGTTGATGAAAATGAACGTCACGTTACAGTCAACGGAGATCGCTACAGAGACATGCTGCAACGTTATTTTTTTGGTCAATTGGATGGGCTTGACATTAATATGTGGTTTCAACAAGACGGTGCCACAAGCCACCCAGCCGGGGAAATAATCGACATATTCCAGTCTAAATTCGCTGAACGTGTTATATCGAGAAATGGTCCTGTCGAATGGCTGCCTAGATCGTGTGATTTAACACATCTTTTTCTGTGGGGCTACATTAAATCACTGGTCTATGCCAACAAGCCGACGTTGTTAGAGGAGCTCAGGGCCAATATTGAACGAGAGATAGCGTTTCTGTCTGTCGAAATGTGTAGCCGACTCATTCAAAATTGGGAGCAACGAATCGATCGCTGCGAAAGTACCCGTGGTGGATATATGAACGTGATCGAATTCCATACATAAATGTTTGGAGTATACTACAATCCAATGATAAAATTTTGTCAAACGGTTTGCGTTTTATTGAAAAAGAAAGTTGTCAAGTCCTTAATGGAAAACCCTTTACAACTGCTATTAAAAATATCATTATGAGAACCACTATAAATTTTGAAAAAGACATCGCCAGGAACAGAAAAATTACCAAATTTTCGCCAATCCTTCAGTGGACGAATCCACAACGTCCAGGTGTGTTTTGGTCTTGGAGATATCCACATGGTATGGCGCAGTCTTCGACTCTATGAAATGTTGAGTTTCCAACGTAGCCGTTGGCTCATTCGATTCCACTGGCTCATTTGAATCAACCTGTGATTCATTCGACTCGCTTTCCTGATGATGCTTCTTCACGTGCTTCACTCTCTTCAGTCTGGCACCCTTAGGAAGGGACTTCGTCAGAAGGTCCAATAAACTGGCTGATGAGGGTTGGGATGTGCTGCCTGATGAAGGGGATGTCGTTGCTGCTAACATTGGGGTTGGGATCAAGAGGATCACAAAGTTGTCCAGGTCGGCTCGAACATTCCATGCGCCTGTAAAAAAATGCGTCAAGTAGGTTGACTTTGACACGCAACGCCGTCATCGTTTTATAAAGGATTATGACCAGCACAAGTTGGGTCCTCTGCGAAAAAGTTAGTATAACAGAGAAATTATACGGACCAAGTCAGTCAAACAGGCCCATACAATTAATCCATAGACAAGGGCGTAGCCAGCCCAAAACAACAACAAACATTTTTTTGGTGGAAGTTCCACCAGTCGTATCTAAATAACTATGCTTAATATTTTTCTGCCTATTTGCACTTCATTTATCTAGAGTCTTCCACGACGATTTGACAATATGGATATGGACAACTATTAAGATTGCTTTATTCAAACATACGAGCAAGCCCAAATGTGAACTGAATTGTTAAGGAAATTATACAGGATTAATACAGGGTGGCCCAAAGAAAGCATCGCACCCCCATTTGTGACTCTCCTGGTATATTTTGGGAAAAACGCTTGGACACGTCAATTTTGATTTACAGGGGGTTATTTGATCTATAGCCGTACAATATAGGGTGATCCAAAATAAGATATTACGTTACACTTTAGATTTTTAAATGGAAATCCCCATTTTTTTAACAACAAAAATTAATTTGCTATAAAGAGGTAGTAGGTCAATGTGGTAATAAGTGCTGAAAGTGGTGTCCATTTACCTCCATGCAATAATAAAGATTTTGTTGATGTCTTGAGTTATTTGGCTACATTCAGCCTTAATCCGGTGATGAATATCTTGAATGGAATCTGGCTTCGTACTTAGAACTTTACTTTCCAAATGCCCCCAAAGAAAGTAATCTAAAGGACAGGTCCGAAGATCTTGGCGGCCACTCGATGGGGCCTCGTCTGCCGATCCCCTGATTCGGGAAATCGATGTGCAAAAACTGTGGTACTGAAGCCACATAGTGCAGCGGTGTACAATTTTGTTCGAAATGAATGTAATTTTCATTATAGTTAACGTCATTTTCTATTATTTCTGTATTTCGTGGCTTTATTGTATTTTATAAAATGTCCAAGTACGTCCCGCCCGTCAGGGAATAAGAAATATGATTTCCGAAAATGCCGGCCTACATATTTATTTTCCAGGTTTTTCGAGTATATCTCTCGAAACAAATGTGGAGTCGAGTCACTCCAATATCGACAATTATTTCTATTTACAGCACCATGTAAATAGAACGTACCCTCATCTGAGAAGCAAATATTAAATAACAGATTTGCATTATTGATTAAACGTTGGGACATTCATTCTCAAAACTCCAACCTTCTATCAAAATCGTCTTCATTAAGCTCATGGACAACTTTTATCTTGTATGGGTGAAATTTATTGTCTTTGAAAACTCTTTGTTCTGTTGAGCCTGTAAATCCTGAAGTAGCCAGTCCACGAGTGCTTTGGGTGTTGTCAAGTGCTACATATTTCTGCGTCTTCATTTCTAACTGGGCGATTTTCTCGATAGCGATTACGGCGAATATTAGATACAGATTCAGTTTCTTCAAATTTTCTTATCAACTTGGCCACATACTTATCGTTTATATTTCTGTCTGAATGTAACACATTAAATAACCAGGCAGTAGATCTTGCAATGTTCCCATTTTGGTAATACAGTTTTGTTATTTCTAGATTAGGTAGGTAACTTAACAATTTGAAATAAAAGACAAAGTGTTTCTATGACACGATGACACTGACTAATGCTTAATGTTCTTGCTGGTATCATGATTATTATTTTTTGCTGTGCATTCCATTATCAGCATTAAGTTAGTCAAATTTTATTATAAACTTAAATAGCTTCACAACGAATGAAGATAGGTATAAACTTTAATACTAAAGTTACTAGAACCATCATGGAAAATCTATAAATTAAAAAAATGAGGGCTTCCATTTAAAAATCTAAAGAGTAACGCAATATCTTATTTTTTTATCACCCTATATTGTACGGCTATAGATGAAAATATGTCCCCCTAGAAATCAAAATTGACGTGACCGAGCGTTTTCCCCAAAATATACCAGGAGAGTCACAAATGGTGACGACGATATTTTCGTTGGACCACCCTGTATATTCTTTAGAGTGAATGCAAAAGCTCCTCATCTCGAAATAAAAAATTCTGGATACAGGACGACTTTTTAGTATCTAATTGGACAATTACTATAAAACATAACCAAAAATATTACTTACAAAAATTATGGACTATATTATACTTCCTACTTGGTTTATATCGACATGACAACAAAAACGATTCATTTCAATGGAATAGCGTACGTCTTTTAAGATATTTTAATATGCCACATCAAAGGGAGAAGTTTTGATATAGTCAGGGATATAGCATATTATACTAATTCCGAAAATAATTTCTCTTTGTCGATATTAATTCGTTGTTGTTCTAGAATTGTCATATAGCTAAAAATATTTTTGTAGAATATGTAGAAGGGTATGTACCTAGTTTATTCTAAAATGATTTGAAGAACAAATTTGTCATATTTTCACCATTGTCATCTACGAAACGGTAAGAGATACGGGTCGGTCGAATGATGGCAAATTTCGTATTACTATATTTTATAAAAGGCACTTGAAAAGTTTTGACACTTCCAGTGTCCTCGGAAAGGGAACTAATTTTTCCCAAAATCGTTTCTAATTTTTACTGAATTTATTTGAGATATGATTTCAAAATAAGCTGCGCGTTGACATTGTCACATTTCGATCTCTGCCAGGTGGCTTAAATATAACATTAATACGATTTTTGATCTCTTATCCCCCGTCTCAAATATTATAGCATGTCTAACATTATTATAAACACATTTTTTCACGAGTAAGCATTGAAATCATCATATAGTCATTTATTTTTTAGAATATCAAAGATGATAATATGTTACGCATTGATATAAAATTTCAAGTGGCTAACTTCATATAATTGGTTTAAACTAATCGAATTAGGAAGAACATAATGTAGCTCATTTATATTATTTATCGTAAGCATGAAGAAAATCGAAAACGGTGTAATTTTAAAAAACTGAGAGCTGAAACGTCGAAGTTCTAATTGTGCCACCGTGTAGAAGAGAAAAATTGGTAATGTTATTGTGTAATTTGTTTGGAATGTGGATGCTTGAAAAGTTTTGTTTCGGACTAAAGCCACGAAAAAATAAAAACGACTTAGAGGAAATTTGGAAATACTTGAATTTCCAAATTGTCTAAGTTCCATTTTTTTATTTACCCACGCAACTTACCCCCATAAAGTATTCCGCGTTGTATATTTATCATGAGATGTGATATTTATTGACCGCGTAGCCTGAACATCAGTCATTATTGATCCATAATGTTTCGCAGAAATCCACTGATGGTTCGGATCACAGTAAATACTGATCGTGTGACATTGGCGAACGCTACACGTTCAATGTTTATCCCGATACTTGGATCACGATACCACGATATTTACTGATGGATCACAATAGACTCCAGACGTACAATATTTATCTTGACAGTATTTTCATAATTTTTGTGAAAGCCGTTTTAAAAATGGAGACAGAAAATCAGGTTAAAGCGAGTGAAGCTATTTTACTGGCATTTTCGTTGAAACGACAAGTGAAAAGAAAGAGGTGGATGAAGAAATGTCTTCAAGATCGAGGCAAATTCACGCATCTTAATTTATTGAATGCAATTCGACAGGAAGAAACTTTAAAGATATAAGGTTTGCAGGGATAATGTCCCCAGAGTCAGTAAGCCAAGCAGTCATGGATACCTGTGAAGCATTGATATATGTTCTTCGCGACTACATTAAGGTAAGTAATAAAAAAGTCTCAATCATTTATATTACGTGATATACAAGGTGACTTTGAAGTTGAGTCATTAATTTTCAGATAATGATTGTAGAAGGAAGATAAACCAAAATATGTGTGTAAAAATAAAATAAAAATTAAAAAAAATGTTACCTTGTTTTATAAAGTATCCTCCCGACAAGTATTTCAGTGCGGACCTGTATTTGATCGTGCGGTCTTGGAGCACCGGCATGCCCTCCCCTGTGAGGTCTTAAGTCACCTGACTCACGAGCCCTTTGTACTACATTAAAAAAGGCACGAGGGGTTGGTTGCACTCGATTGGGAAACCGATCCGCATAAAGACTCCCCCTCCGTAAATAAGAATCATGTCCACAAGTTCAGCATTTTCGTAAACATGTGCATTTTTTATTTCGTTTGAGCCACGCAACAAACACCACTATTCACTCACGCGTTACCGACTGACACATTGACGGAACACAACTGAATAAAATTGTACATTGTAGTAAAAACATCGTTTCAAATTCTTTCGCTGTTTTGTTTCCGATGCGATGAACGGATAAGGCGGATTATATCCGTTGTTGCCAAACACGAGCACATAATATTATTTTTGAGACAGGGCGGTACTCAAACTTCTAAAGGGCTATAGCTTTGTTACTTTAATTTTACCAGAAAAATGTTAAAGGAAAAAAGCATTTCTTTTGATCAGATCTACTTACTGTTAAAATAAATGACTCAACTTTGAAGTTACGGTGAAACTAAACATTCAATAGATATCGCGTGATCCATGGATTGACCACGGATTTCAAGATTTCTAGAAATCCTACGATACGGATCGTGATCCATCAATATATCACTCTGCACAATCAATAGATATCACGATCTTGGATCGTGATCGAAGTATCTAGATAAATATTGAGCGTGTAGCGTTCGCCATTCGCTTTACCGTTTCCGAGATCCCACCAGCGAGGTTCAAATTTGAAACTCACCTAACATATACAGGGTTTCAAAATAAAAAATATCTTCAAAACCGTCAACTGGAATAAACTAAAATTCTTTACTTGAAATTAACGTGCACCGGTGGCGGAGATACCGAGGATTAGTTGCATTATTTTTCCAAATAAAATTAGTACGACACTGTTTTTTTTTGCAAATGGCCTCTAACTAAGTTTTGGCAATTCCATATTGCCGAAGTTTCAGAAATGTAAAAACCTTTGGGATAGGTTGGCGTCTGCTAGGAAATCTACGTTGATACTCCCGAGAAGCCGCTTAAGCATTTCCTTGGCAGTACCCTTACACAAAAATAATATCGCCGTACTCATCATTGCTAAATTCCATTTCACAACACTCAAAAATGGAAAAAATAAACTTTTGATTTGACAAAAACAAAAAAAAATGGTAGTAGTAACGATAAAAGCCATGTAACACAACTTTGACAAACTATCTCCAAGAAACGTCAAGTTGGTATCAAGGCCTCCTATTTTATTTTGAAACTAATTGTATCTCGGCTCTTCATGAATGAATCTAATTTGTTTTACTTTTATTTTTACGAAAATAGTGAAGAAAACAGGAAAAACACAGGAGTAATTATTTGTAGCAAATTTGAGGTAAAATTTGAAAAATTGCGCGTTTAGAAAAAAAAAAAACAGTAGCGTACTATTTTTATTTGTAAAAATAATGCAACTCATTCCTTGTATTTCCGCCACTGGTGCAGGTTAATTTTGAGTAAAGATTTTTTAATGTGGACAATACTTAGGTGAATCCACATACTAAATTTAATTCATTCCAGTTGACGGTTTTGAAGATATTAAAAAAATGTTTTTTAATTTTAAACTTCAACACCCCGTATCATTTTGGTCACGACTTGTGAATCACCCTGTATAGTGCTTTTTGCGAATTTGAGTCTATATCTGGATTTAAATTAATCCTAGAAATTTCCCATCTAATAGAAATTGATTCAGCTTGTGGAGAACCATGTACATGGATAATTCAGTTTTTTTAAATGTTCTCCCCATGTAATTTTTGCCGAGCTATGGAAAAGGGTGGCAGCTGCCTGGGCACGACTTTGCTGTCAAACATTTTGTATCTCTGGAACCAAGCGATTTTCGGGAGTAGTTCAAAAACTACAACTTAAATTTTTGCACCATGTTCTTAAGCTAGTGCCCACAGCTGGCATGCCATAGACCTCCGTAACCATACCTTCTTGTCTCTGGTCATACAAGACCTTCGTCGCATCCCCCTTGCTATTCCTTGCCGGATATGCCACCGCCGCTGTAGCAAGCAGTAAAATGAACTGAAGCACTATCAGCCTCATATCGACAGTACTCAATGCGCGCACTCACTGATATCACTTGTATCAGCGTAGATCCCGTCAGTACGACTTGGAAGGTGATGCTTCGACTCGTTTTTACCGTAACATCAACCAACGCACAGATTTCGAACACGATGTCTGAACGGACTGAAGAGGACGTGTGTAGAACTGACCCGAACACGGTTTGTGTGAGCATCAAGCCGCATTTAGACCCTGCAATAAGTTGTCAAGCGGTGTGTTCTAAGAGGTACAATTTTTGTCCAATCGTAGCGCCGACCATGCGTTGGATGGAATTGAGTTTGCTAAATGTGGGAATCACACTTTATGAATAGATATCAACTGAGAAGAGGTCAAAGAAAAATAATCCAGATCTTCCCGGACCTCTTTTTGGTCTACTTTTTAATCCTCTCCTCTCTTGAGTAATTACAACAAACAGCTTTTTCGTTTTTTCTTCTGATTTCCCGGATCATTCTGAACAACAGTAACTTTTTTTTAAAGCTAGTCGTTTACGAGCTATGAGCCATTTAATGTCTAAAAAAACCCAAAAATGTTCATCTTCAATGGTTAAAAGCTCGGTTAGAAGTCACTATTTTTGAGGTTGCCAAGTACCCAAATTCAAGCTAAAACCTTACCCTACAAGACTCCGAAGAGTATTTCAAGATTAATTTATTTTGAAGTGATAGTTTGTGAGACCAAAATTGGCGAACTTTTGATTTTCGAAGACTGTACATACCACCGACATTACATTGAAGCCGAAACCAATGTTTCGTTTATAGAAAAGTGTTTCGGTAGTTAGTAATTTTTCAATATTTACATTCTTTTTTTGTTTTTTATTAATAATAAAATATTGTTTTCAACAACAATGTTTTTCTGCTTTATTTAAAAATCCATTATCCATCTGATTATAAAAAATTTAAATCAAACTAACCATTCAAATCGCTCCATAGCATGTACCTCGCCTATTTTGATTATAGTACATACTTGAAATAATAAACCGGCAAAATCCGCATTATTGTTCCTTGACATTTTCTCAGCTGACATCTGTTCATAAAGTGGGGTTGCAAAATCAATTCCATCTTGCACAAAAATAGAGGTTTTAAAAATTTTTCAAAACGGAGCTGCTACTCACAAACCGTGCGTAATTCCATATTGGCATACTTGCTTTTCTGGTTGGAAATGACCCTTATCACTACCTACTTTTGGCTCCCTTTGTATATTAAAAAAAGTTAAATGCCGATACATTTTGTTATAAACAAAACATTGTGTTGGCCATTAATTTAATGAAGATGGTACGTACAGTATGCGAAAATAAAATTTCGCCAACTTTGATCTAACAAACGCTCGCTTATAAATATACCGCTTGACGCCATTTTTTGGATTACACATGTATCGGGTGCAAGGAAAGTAATGGAACGATAAGAGATTTTTGACAACGGGCGACGTCATGTTTATATATTTTGCATGATCTTGTTCAAAAAATATCCCTTTTAACGAATATGTATACTAAGTGACATATAAATTCGAACACCCAGTTTAAATGGTTTTATTTTAATAAAATTTTGTATAAGTACTTAATGAAGCATAATAAGTAAATGATAAAAAATTCAAAATGATTGCACTGCTTTAAAGCCGTTTGACCTTTAATAATGTGTGGATGCACCCTGATGTGCTACGCATTATCCAACGCGCCTAGGCATGCTTCTGATCAGGTGGTCAATGTCCTCCTGTGGTATCTCATTCCAGGCAACCACCAACTCCTTTCGAAGTGCTTCTAGAGTCTGAGGAGGACGTTGCAAATTGAGCAATCTCCTACCAATCATATCCCACACGTGCTCAATTGGGGATAAGTCGGGAGATCTTGGTGGCCATGGTAACAATGTGACATCATTATGTTGAAAGAAGTCTATTGTGACTCTTACATGTGGTCGGGCATTATCTTGTTGGAAAGTTGGATCTGCCAGGGTGTCAAGATAGGGTAAAAGATGGGGTTCTAGAACTTCGTGGATATAACGCTGCGCGTTCATGTTACCTCTGATGAAGATTAAAGGTGACCTGGAACCATAAGTTATAGCACCCCAAACCATAATTCCAACAATGTGATGAACATGTCTTTCAACAAAAAACTGTGGATTCCTCCTTTCACCACGTCACCTTCTAACCCTGGCACGACCATCGTGCATGCCTAAACAAAATCGACACTCGTCACTAAAGACAATACTGTTCCATTCCTGATCCCAGAGTGACCGTTGTCTGCACCACTCAAGGCGATTACGTCGGTGTTCTAGAGTTAAAGGGAGGACCCAGTGTGGCCGGTATGAAAACAAGCCAAAACTTCTCATTCGTCGGTAAACACTTCGCATGCCAATAGGTCTTCCGTGTTCTGCAAACCATTCATTTGCAATGGACCTGGTAGTGGAGAAACGGTCCCTTAAGGCCAATAATCTTAGGCGGCGATCTTCACGGTCTGTTGTTCTACGGCGGCGTCCAGTGCCCCTTGCTCTTTGCGTACGGCCTTCTCGAAGCCATGCGTGACAACACCTAACCACAGTGTCTACACTTCTTTGCACTCTAACTGCAATTGCCCGAAAAGAAAGTCCAGCTTCCCGAAGTCCCACTATACGGCCCCTATCAAACTCACTAAGTTGACGAAATCATACAGGTCTCCGTACTCTAGGCATCGTAACCGATCGTAAAGGATGTCAAGAACCAAAATCCGCCAACGTTGATTCTTTACTGCGGCTGAAATATTCATTTTTAGAGCGTTAGTGAATTAAAAAAAAGCAGTATAAAAACCGGAATGTCCAACTGATAAGGCTGAAAATTTTTTCACTTGTTACTTACAGTAAGATAAATACATTCACCGACTTTTATTAAAATAAAATCATTTAAACTGGGTGTTCGGATTTATATGTCACTTAGTATATATCAAAATACTCTTCGGGGTCTTGTAGGGGAACGTTTTAGCTTTAATTTAGGTACGTGGTAACCTCAAAAATAATGATGAACCGAGTTTTCTAATCATTGAAGATTACCATTTTTAGGGTTTTACAGACAATATAGCTCATACAGGGTGGGGCAACATAACTTTTAAAATTCTCACCAATAGTCGATTTCTAATTACGGCGGAGAGGAGACACATTCTCATAGCTGACGCTACAGTATTTCATTTCATCTCGCATAATATTTCGGACGCGAGAATATGGTATCAGGTTGGCTACCTTCAGGTAGAATACGTTAATCAATGATTTTAGTCAAAAACTAATTGCCGAACCACGTACTGGAGAGTGTTTCTCTGATTTGTCGTGAAATGTGACCTAAAGTTTCAGATTGAATATTGTTCTCAACGTGCATGGTGCAAATGCGGCTTAACTGACACGAACTCGGTTTGTATGAGCTTCAAGCTGCTAACGGGAAATACTGCTAATGATCATCAGCCTGGTTTTGATGTGCGGTTTGCGGATATCATAATCTCTTCTTAGTAGTATCTGTTTATCGATGTCACCGGGATTCATCTCAGAATTCACAGACGTTTGTATGAAATAATATGCTTACCACGGTGTAACTTGTTGGGGGTATGATTCTTAGTGTATATCCTATTTATGTCGTTGCTGATGTGCTTTGTTATCAGCGTGTCTGATCTGTCTGTTGGCATGTCTTAATCGAATGATTGTCTCTTTGTTCATGAAATGCATTTAGTTATGTCGAAAGGCAAGCAAGCTTTTGATCTACTTCAAACCATTCCGTGTAATATGTTAAGTTTTAAGCGCCGTATCATCAGTCGTTCCTACAATAATTGTCCTCTCCTTCAGAAAGGCGCTCAATTTTGAGGTTATGTTACAAATATCTATTTGCATCAAATTGAAATTTCCTGCAATTCCAACAGAAGAGATTATTTTTTATTTATTTAGAAGAGCGCTGACACGGAACAGTAGAAATATGGAGATACCCCAGCCTTTCTGAAGGAGAGAAAAGACCGAACATCAAGGAGGCCACAAAGGCGTCCTACAATCTTAGGAACGACTGACGATACGGCTCTAAGAGAAAGCAACTTCTTGGAATATCGCTCACTCTCCTTTTAATGATTGCTGACGCGAAAAATTGTGAAAATGATGTTTTGGTCTGTCTGTATGTCTGTCCGTTAATTATTGGACCGCCTACAGCTTGGAAAGCACTTCTCGAATTTGGATAAAATTTTCACACAAGATTACTACACTCAGGTCCAGGTAAAATTTTGGTCAAATTCTGAACGTTATAACTTCTTTATTATAGTAAGTGACATATAAATCCGAACACCCAGTTTAAATGGTTTTATTTTAATAAAATTTTGTATAAGTACATACTTAATGAAGCATAATAAGTAAATGATAAACATTTCAAAATGATTGCACTGCTTTAAAGCCCTTTGACCTTTAATAATGTGTGGATGCACCCTGATGTGCTACGCATTCTCCAACGCGCCTAGGCATGCTTCTGATCAAGTGGTCAATGTCCTCCTGTGGTATCTCATTCCAGGCAACCACCAACTCCTCTCGAAGTGCTTCTAGAGTCTGAGGAGGACGTTGCAAATTGAGCAATCTCCTACCCATCATATCCCACACCTGCTCAATTGGGGATAAGTCGGGAGTTCTTGGTGGCCATGGTAACAATGTTACATCATTATGTTGAAAGAAGTCTGTTGTGACTCTTGCAACATGTGGTCGGGCGTTATCTTGTTGGAAAGTTGGATCTGCCAGGGTGTCAAGATCGGCTAAAAGATGGGGTTCTAGAACTTCGTGGATATAACGCTGCGCGTTCATGTTACCTCTGATGAAGATTGAAGGTGACCTGGAACCATAAGCTATAGCACCCCAAACCATAATTCCAACAGTGTGATGAACATGTCCTTCAACAAAAAACTGTGGATTCCTCCTTTCACCACGTCGCCTTCTAACCCTGGCACGACTATCGTGCATGCCTAAACAAAATCAAGACTCGTCACTAAAGACAATACTGTTCCATTCCTGATCCCAGAGTGACCGTTGTCTGCACCACTCAAGGCGATTACGTCGGTGTTCTCGAGTGAAAGGGAGGACCCAATGTGGCCGGTATGAAAACAAGCCAAAACTTCTCATTCGTCGGTAAACACTTCGCATGCCAATAGGTCTTCCGTGTTCTGCAAACCATTCATTTGCAATGGACCTGGTAGTGGAGAAACGGTCCCTTAAGGCCAATAATCTTAGGCGGCGATCTTCACGGTCTGTTGTTCTACGGCGGCGTCCAGTGCCCCTTGCTCTTTGCGTACGGCCTTCTCGAAGCCATGCCTGACAACACCTAACCACAGTGTCTACACTTCTTTGCACTCTAACTGCAATTGCCCGAAAAGAAAGTCCAACTTCCCGAAGTCCCACTATACGGCCCCTATCAAACTCACTAAGTTGACGAAATCGTACAGGTCTCCGTACTCTAGGCATCGTAACCGATCGTAAAGGATGTCAAGAACCAAAATCCGCCAACGTCGATTCTTTACTGCGGCTGAAATATTCATTTTTAGAGCGTTCGTGAATTAAAAAAAGCAGTATAAAAACCGGAATGTCCAACTGATGAGGCTGAAAATTTTTTCACTTGTTATTTACAGTAAGATAAATACATTCACCAACTTTTATTAAAATAAAACCATTTAAACTGGGTGTTCGGATTTATATGTCACTTAGTATATTGACTAGATTTTATTGATATTTCCAACAAGCTGTATAGGTACATCCATTGGCTTTAATTTGTATAACTGATTTCTTGATTGTAGCCGCGGCTTGACTTGTTGCAGTTGTTGTTGTTGTTGTTGAGTCTCTCTGTGATCACATTTTTCCCTCTATATTCTGTTTTTTTATTCACATCAGTAGGTACGGTGGTTGAAGTTTTAAAGGCAAATGAACATTTTATCATCAGCTTTCTTTCTTCCTTTTATAACTTTTTTAATTCCCGTACGAAGTCAAGAAGTTTTTACCAAATTGTACAGGACTCTATTGCCTTTCAATCTTAGGTGTACATTTTTTGAAGCGCCTTTGATTTCGTTTATCCACAGTGACTAAGAAAACATTTGACTTAATTTAAGAACACTCTGTTTAATAATTTCCCTTTATAGTGTAAACGCAATGATCCGTATCTCACTTATCTTTTAATTTTGGGTTCATGGGTAATTATTTTGGAACAATGAATTTAATTGCTTAAAATACGGTACTGTGCCTTAGAAGCCGTAAAGTAACTCATGAAAAATTATCTGGAGCAATATCCGCCTATTTAAAAAACAAAATACCAATAAAGATTCGTGAATTGTTGTCCTACATTTATTCTGTCCCAAAGGAATAATCCTCGCTCGAATTTTCTTTCGAAAGGGTACAGCATGGAATTATCATACAACGTGTTCTTAAAGCAATTCAAATGTTTTCATTTTATTCGTCACTTAAGATAAACGAAATCAGAGGCGATATAAAAAATGTAATCACAAGATTTAAAGGTTATATATTTCTGTACAATTTGGTAAAAACCTTCTAGAATTCGTACGGGAATTAAATAGGCTATAAGGGAAGAAGGAAAATCGATGATAAAATGTTTGCCTTTAAAACTTCATCTACGTAAGTGTTGACGTGAATAAAAAACATAATATAGAGGAAATGTGATTCTTGATAATGAGCAACATTGCGATCAGATAAAAAACTGAGGTCACGCAACCGAGTGACTCGAAGTTAGGGTATTGGTAGATCATTTTGATTTACCTTGAACCACAAGTTAAGCCGGGGCTACAATCAGGAACCCAGATATGCAAGTTAAAGCCAATGAGTGTGCCTACAGTCTTCCGGAAAAAAAGTTATGACGTTTCGAATTTGTCCAAAAATTTGCCACTTGCATTTATTTTGAAGCTGAGTATATTTTGCCAAGGATGAAAAAGCTTTTTAGATTCTCAAAATTGGTCTAGTGGCAGTAGAGCTAAGGGAAACAACACGGAAAAAATAAAAATCGCCCCAACTTCGTTCTTTGACGTTTCAAAGGATCATTTTCAGAAAATTTTTGTAGGTATGGGGGAAAGTATATGTCAATTACTTGGCGCTAGCAATTTGTACTCAGCCGACCCAAGTAATCGTACGCACCTTCGTTCCTGGCATTCGAGCGGTAGTGTTGTGCGGTTTGTGTGTTTAAACAAATTAAAATGTCGTTTAATTGGGGCGACGAAGCTGTGCTGCTCTTAATTGAAAAATTTCATGAAAATGATATATTATGGAATCCCAGAAATGCAGACTATAAGAATAGGAACAATCGAATGGACGCATTGAACATAATTGCAAGTGTATTTGACATTGATAAAGGCGAAGTAGAGAGAAAGTTAAAAAATGTAACCTCTCATTATTTTCGGGAAAAAAGCAGTTCGAACAGTTGCACAAATCTGGTGCAGGCATAGACGATGTACAGAAACCCAAAAACATGCTATTGCGCAAACGCTGACACCCCACATCATCTTTTTTATACTTTTCTATCATTACAGTACCGTTCCGCCATTTTCTATTTTGTAAACTTGGGTGCAACCAAAACCTTCTCGTCCTTTTGTATTTTTTTCTTATTGAAATAAAAATTACAACTGCGACGGCTGTGCTGATGATTTCCTTATTCATTTTAACCAACCAACCATAAAATAAGCACTTCACTAGCGTTCTCTGTGACTGTCACAACGGGAATGATGCTTGGCGGCTTTGCGCGGCTTATGCCGGCGGCTTGTATTGCCGACGGCATAGCCGCTCGGCAATACAAGCACTGTGTGTAGTAGCTTTAAGAGCGACTAACTTGTGCCGAACATAATCCATTATAAATTGCTGACAACGTTAGGAACTGCAACGTCAACCCACTTGACGCATTTTTTTGTCACTAGCACGTTAAATTTGATCCATAGCTTAGCGGATGATGATATGACTTTACGTTATTATATAGGAGCATTTAAATGGTTCTAGATCGCTATTTAAATAATAAATATACTGAAAATCATCTTTGTGAATCAAAAACTCTGAAAATTTATTTCTAGCTTCTAAAACTCTATAATATATACAGTAAGCGTGATCCTATTGTACGTGCTTTGTCATAGTGGTGTGATACCTTATTTGTACCAAATGATGAAACAACCAATATGCAAACTGATCGGATGTTGTGACCATCGTTCGGAGGTTTGATGTCATGCTTTAATAGTGACGGTTGAGTGTTGGCGCCCAAGGTCGGCAGAAAAGGCCAAATGTGGCATAGTTGCCAATATTAGCCTACCAATTTATTATTAATTGTCGCTATTGGAAATAAGTACCTACTTGCTTCCAACTGCATACTTTTATTTCTAATAATAGAACAATATTGCACTTTTATGCTCATTCAACGCATTTACATA